CTTCCAGCTACTGTATAATGGCGTATTGGCAGCGTTTTGGTATAAAGGGGGTTCACAGGAGGAAACCGTCAGTTCTCCAGACTCCATCCCCATTACTGTAAATAAAACTGTCATTTCAAACTTTGAACCTGCATATTAAACAGTCTTATTTATTTTGAATACAAATTTAGACCATAAATAATAATAATAGCATACAACACAGCCTTTAAAGAATATATATTAGACCAGTTTTAAGGTTTACATATCCACAATGTGAAGGAAAATCAGTGCTGCGCATGCGCCAACACATATACATATCCGGGTTTCCATAAATAATTAAATTACGGTACTGAAATTACTTATTTCTATCCTTAACTCACTAAAGAATGCTAGTACACATCCTCAAAGAAGGTTTTATGACTTTTGTGAGACAATTTTTATGCTTTTTACATTTTCTTCGTTAAACTGCTTCTCTGACGTCATCATGGGACACGACCAAAGCAGTCCAGCAAAATATGATTAAACCATGTTTATCTGCATTTTAGTTTCTTTCTTTAAAATATGCACTATATGGCGTAAGGTATGACATGTCCATAAAACTTAAAAAGACTAGATTTATGTTTAAATCCGAAGCTGTCAGGTCTAAGCACCTAAAACATCATACATACATGCAGGGAAAGAAAGAAAGCACAGAGACAATTAATTTAGTTTTACTCACTCTGCAGTCCCAGCGTTCTGCTCGCTATTTATTAGAAATCAGGGGTCTCTTGTTACAACAGCTGAGGCTGCTCTAGAAATGAGAAACAACATGATTTGCAGTCTCAGTAAACATCCTATAAATTTCAGGGTTCAGTCAAAGTTTAAGCGGTTGAAGCTGTTCACCAAAGTTCAGCAGGTCGAGTGCTGCATGTAAATCAACCACAAACTCCCCAAAAGCAAGTTCACAAATCACAGTATACTTCAGAAAAGGTGGCTGTGAACACATGCACATAGCACACAGCTTTATGCATGATAACACTACACAGATACATTTATATACTATTATTCTAACAAAAGCCCAAAAAGTTAGCCACTGGAAGTAGTATAGGGTAGAAAGGATTTTAAGGCATTTATTTTCTCAGGAAATACATTATTTTCCTTTAATTGATAATATTTTAGAACTATTTAGGTCTTTTTAACAAAATAAAATTAAGGACAACCCGGGTGGATGTGTGGATACGCAAATGAGCTGATGGCGCAGAACGGATGGTGCTTCCAGGACGGATCGGGTA